CTGGCTCTCTGTAAATAAAGCAAAGCCACTTCCTCGTCCGACATTAAACAGCCCCACAGAGGAGGGAGGGGCGGGGAGGCTGTCGCCGTGCAGCGCAGCTGTCCTGCGTCTGACCTCAAAGTGCACAAGCTTCAAACTTCAGCGTTGGCTGCGATTTTGACGCTGAAATAGCGTTCGGTGTGAACGCACCATAAAGCTTTCCGTGCCTCGGAGAAGGCAGCGCGCGCCTTGGCCACACTGGTGGTGTAATCCGAGAAGATGGCGATTCTTTTACCCTGGTAGATCAGCGGGGCTTTGTCTCTGGCTCTCCTCAGGATGTCAGTGGCATCTCCATCATGGTGCAGCTTGGCGATGATCACACGAGGTCTTTCTCTGTCTCCCAGTTTCGTCAGAGCAGCTGTTMGGTGTGAACGGTCGACTTTTACCTCCCGGTCCATCTGGAGCACCTCTTTAATAATTTTAGAAACCTCTTTAGGATAGGCGGTGTTCGGCTGTTCCGCAACGCCAACTATACGGATGTTTCCCTGCCTCATCCTCCCCTCCATGTCCACACATTTGTCCCGCATCTTAACCAGTTCGCTCTGAAGTTCAATAATGATGGATTGCAACATGTTTACTTCATCAGACCATGTAGACAGTCCACCTTTCACATCTTCCATGTCCGTTTCAATTGAGGTGATGTCAGCACGGATAGCAGCGGCATTGCTAGCTATCTCGGCCTTCACAGCTTGTATGTCAGCTCTGAGTGTAGTAAACTCTTCAGACAGCGCACTCCTCATTTCCTCCCTTATAATTTTAGAGATTTCCCCACGAATAGAGGATAAGATATCGGCTCTCATCTCCTCACTCATACTAGAGCTCTTGGGTTGTGGGTCTTCATCCTCTGGAGCATGCTGCCTTGTGGCTCTGGTGTTAGCAGTTAGCTTCGCCGTATTACCGTCGTACTTGAACTTACTAAGTTTATCCGCCATTTATCAAGAAATATCCACTGAAACAGATGTCTTTATAGTCCAGAACCTTTGATAAVCCAATTTAGGTTGCAGTTAGTAGCAACTGTGGAATTAGAACGAATATGTTAATAAACCTGCAGGAGCTCTGAAATATCCGTCTCTACTCCATCTTGCTCATCCCTTCTCTCTATTCACACTGCACTTTGTCAAACAAACTAAACCCCATGAACAACCTCCATCATGTTGCCACGGTCAACCGACCACTAACGCATTCTCGCTTTCTTTCATTGAGAAACTAAAACAAGCTCCTTCAGTGCTTTTCAGGCTAGCTTGGTTAGCTGCTAAACAGTTCCCAGGCATTCCGTTAAGGAGTACTTCGCCGAACACAGTCCCCGGCTTCAGTTTGAATTTGTGCTGAGTAAGTTATACTTTGTGAGAAGTATTTTTTTTTACACTAAAGAGCAGTGACCACATAAAGTCGAGCTGCTCCCGCTGCAACTCTTGTTTTAAGTAACCAAATGGTGGCCATTGTTACATTAGTTACCGCATCAAGGCAAGCTAGCATTCTTTCACCCCCAGTGAAAAGGAGAAAGTTTGTAGAAGAGGGAACACTCCCTCTCTGCCAGGGTTTACACACTTCTGCAGTTTCCAGTTCAACAGGTGTGTTTGTTCAGCCCTCTCATGTTCAAAGAAAGGAGACTTTGAGGCAGGAAACAAGAACTAAACATGTACCATACACAAATCGGTACTCCCTTAGTGTCACCAAACACTTATCGGTGCCTATTATGCCTCAGTTCGTTCAAGGGGAAATAATCAAAATAAAGTATTTCTGCAGCCAGGTGTGTTGCTCAGGGCAGAATGCACACCACAAAAAAGAGATAAAGAAAAAGAAAAACTTGGTCAAACTCTTTTCCCAATAAAGGGCGCCCATGCTCTTCCTGTGTGAAGCGCAGAGCCCGACTGCAGTGTGGGAGTGACGTCACTTTGCAGCAACGAAGGAGGGCCTTCATGGGCGGAGATGTGGTATGTGTGTGCAGTTCCGTCATGGGCTTTGACCATAATTTCTCTGGGTTACCGAATTCAGTTCAACGTGAAGCCGCCCAGATTCAATGGTGTGGTACTCTCCGTAGCCAGCAGAAAGTCGGCACATGTTCTGGAGGATGAAATTACATCTCTTTTAAACAAATGAGTGATCAGAATAATTCCCAACAGAAGTTCATCAGTGCTTCTATTATCACCATTTTCTGATTCCAAAGAAAGACGGTATGTCCCTCCAGCCCATATTAGATCTGCATGTGTTAATTAGACATTTATGCAGATCCCCGTTCTAGGATAGAAATGTAGACTGACCGGTAAACGGAGAGCTTCTCCTTATAGCTCAGCTCCCTCTTAATCACAACAGATCAGTACAGAGTCCTGAATGCTGCAGAAACTGCACCAATTCATCTGTCGATCTCACGCTCCATTCTTCCCTCACTGTGAACAAAACCTCACACCCAATCTAGAGAGAGCAATCCACCCTTTTCCGACTGAGGACCATTGACCATTTGTGCTGATCCTATTCCCCGCTACTTCACACTCTGCTGCAAACTGATCTAGTGAGAGCTGAAAATCACGGTACGATGGTGCAGACAGGACCACATCATCTGCAAATAACAGTGATGGAATCCCGAGACCACCAAATCGTACTCTGTCTGCCCCCTGGCTGCACTGAGACATTCTCTTTATACTGGTTATTAACAGAATCTGTGACAACAGACAGCATAGTTACATCATGTCTTATGGWTTTCTTTGTGTTTAAATTATCGTTACATTCTTACTACAGGAAAAGAAAGCAACTCATATATATACTGTATATATTTTTTAAGATGTTAAATCTGTCATTTCAGAGGATTGTTAAGAACATCTCACCTTTCAACTGACAGGCTGACAAGTGCAATCCTATCTAAACACTTTGGATTACTTTGACTTGAATGACTGAGAATCTACATTGAGAACAATGATCACACATTTTCTTTCCTTTTCTAACTTTCCCAATGTACACATGCCTTCATGTTGACTGATGCATCAACAAGTCTTTAGGTTTTAAAATGTCTCTGCATCAGTCATCAGTAGATAATTGTCTGGACTTTCATGGCACTACAACTGTCTTTTATTTAATCCTAGTCTTGCCCTTTCATTTCCATGTCCCTCCATTGTCCAGAGTGCAGTTCCTTCTCTCCTCCAGCAACAATCATCCTCCTCATCCTCCTGTGCTTTGAGGGCCTCCTCTTCCTCATCTTCACCTCTGTGATGTTCGGCACCCAAGTCCACTCCATTTGTACTGATGAAACAGTAAGTTACCTGTTCAGTGGCCTTCTGCCTTTTTATATCTCTTCTTTCTCACTTGCCCTTACTTCTCCCATACTTCCAACACGATCAATCATAAAATTCAAGTTTACATTCAGCTGGTGGGGGCGGGGCATGAGGGTGGTACCCAGCTGTCAATGAACAAACAAGGTGAATGATCAAAAAACTTCCACTTTGAAAACATGGAATACTGTGTGCTGTGAGCCCAAACTTTTTATTGCTTTTCCTACATTCACTTTTACGAGTTTATTTATATTCTGTAGCACCAATTCACAGCAGACAAAAAACTCTGCAAGTCTGGGAAAACCTGGAAAATAACTTTCATATTTCCAGACAGAAAAAACTCTTAAGAAAAACATTAAAAATCCTGGAACACTCAGGGATTTGAACACTGATCAACCACTGGTGGCTTTTTAGTATCTGATGTTATACAATAATAAAAATTATTAAGAATAATTGGTGTATGTATGTACTGTAGGTTTCAAGCATTAAATCTCTCACTGCTTCAGTAAATCCTAAGGTGCTAAGTTCTGAGTGTTTCGTGTGACTAAAATATTTCATGGAATTTCAGGATTTTGTTTTCATGAAATGCTGGGAACCCTGGATATATAATACACATACATATAAATACAAAGTCCAAACCATTGGTTCATTTCAAGTATAAACAATTAATGGAATCCAATGATGATTACAAAATGCCAATTGTTTAAAAATGTGTGTGAAAGGAAACCAGCTGTTTGTGCTGAAACCCACCTGAGTCATCACAGAGGAAATCTTTTCATCATTCCAAAGATACCAAACTTTATATCAGGTTGATATTTTCATGTCCAGAAAACAACTAAAGGAAATTATCTTTGGCTACAATCTTCTTTCTCAGCAGCTGGTTGGTGTATCTGTCAAACCTCAGCTCAGTGGATTTCTGTGTTTCTGTAATGGAGAGCAGGATGTGGCTGAGCTGCAGCCACTGCTTTTAATTTCAGTCTGCAGAGATTCATTGTTGAATGATTTCTGTAATCTGTTTCTATTAGCACCACTGCTGAATTCTTTCTGCTTTTACAACTATCCACAGAGTATCTACTTTTACTTGTTCAGATAATACAATTAGTCTGTGGTGTTCTTTCAGAATTTTATTGCACATTCATGACTAAGGCTCTGTTCAGTGTCTCTGAGGCTGTTTATGTATTCTTTATTGTGTCTTTGTTAAAGTTTGTCCTGGAGCACAACATGTGGTTTGGGCTATATTTACATTTTATTAGAGAAGCATACAGATGCATGAATAAAAGTTATTTTTATTTTAGGTTTTCAAAATAAAAAATTTGACAAGATAACTCTACTGTATTAAAATCACCAGAACTCATTTAGTCAAGGGAAACCTATCAAACACTGAAATCAATGAGCAAATGAGAGTTTTCAAAAACATTTACCAGTAGATTTATGGTCTGTCAACCTGTTTTTTTTCCCTTTTTTTATTTTGAACCCTTGAAAAGTTTTCCTGCACAAACAATTAAGAAATACAAGTAACTGTTTTTGGTTGTGAGCTTAAATGTTGCTTGCAGGGCTGGATTTAGGGGGGTACGGGCCCCTGGGCTTGAGCCAATATA